TCCCCTGTCCTAATATTTTGTCATTACATGTATGTTTAATGCTTGTAAATGTTTTTCTTTAAAGTTGAAAAATACTTCAATACATGTATGATAAGCACAAATTGGAATATCAATGTTTTCCCTTCATCTTCATAAACATCTCCCCAAAAACACACCACAACAAAAAATAGTAAGTAAAAACAAATACACAAAAAATTATAAAAAAACCCAACAAAATTCATGAAAGTGCTTGTGAGCAGGTGAGTATTGATTGGTTATTTATAAGTTCATCTACAATTATGGACAAAGAAAGATAACTCCAATTCAAAATAATGCATAAATATATACAATTGAAATAACTACATTTTATCTTATATTTACATTGCAAAATGAAAGCAATCTTAAGCTTTTTGGTTTAAAGTAATTGAACATAAATGCCTGAAATGGATAAATTTGGACTAAATTTGTATCCTGTATATTTTTTTTCCACTTCTTACATAAATCTTTGATTAAATGGGTCATCTTTAAATATTCTGAACCATTTCTTTTCAGAAGGGAAATTTATAAAAACATGTCAAATATCAAATAACTAATAATGTGGCCCTAATATTGCCAAATTACTTAGTTCAGACATGTACTTATCAAAACGAAATTTACCCATAGAAGAGGGACATTTAATTATGAAATTATAACTTTTTTAAATATTATTGAATTAGTATTAAGTTATTTTTGCTAGCTTTACCTAAATTGTTTATTGGATTTCCTTTGATACATTTATAACTAAATCATTGACCATTAAAACAGTCAGGGATATAACTCTATAGGGTTATTACAGAAAAATAACATACATTTGTTATTGTGGACTAAAAAATCAAAGAACTGTGATAACATATGTATGTTACATGTTTCAAAGGGACAATATACATCACTAGTTTAGTTAAAATGCATACAAGTTCTATTGATATTACTATTGTCTTTATGTATACTTAACTATAGAAAGATATAACAGTTCATAGTTTGCCAATTTTGCATAGTACACCTATATGTTATTACAGAAAAAATATGCCTGTAATAACTAAAGGGTGTTATCACAGCTTCTCTATATCACTCCAAAGCATTTTCTCAGACATACATCATGCTTAATTACAATGTATTTTAATTTATTGTAAGAAATAATGACCAGAGCATGTAATGAGGTTCTGCGCAAGCTTCCCAGTAATTCCCAAGTGTCTCATATAATAAGTTACATTCCTTTAATAACTAAGCTATGTTATTACAGCTAAGTTTATCCCTTAAAAGCCTCGTCTCATTGATTTACCATGGTTAATCAAAAATGTATTAATTTAATTAAAAAATTAATTATCAAGGTTATGCATTTAGTTTCTGTGCAAAGTCTCAAGAGTTCCCTAGAGTCCATTATAAATAAAAATATGTTTGATTTATTTTACAAATAACAAACGTATGTTATTGCAGATTTAGAAAATTTAAGGAATAAAGAGTAGACAACTCATGAAAGTGTCTGTAATAACACACGCAAGTTATTTTCTGTAATAACCCTATAGAGTTATATCTCTGACTGTAAAACATTGCCTGCAATTCTTTTTCTCAAATAATAATAAAAAAAGAACACTTTAAACAAAACAAATCAAAGTCAACAGTTTTCTAACAGAATTTTTTCTGTCCATGTATGAGGTCAAAATTATTTATAAAAATATAGTTAGTTTCAAAGAATTCAAAGATGGACAGCATGACATTGATAAATAGATGTAAATAGAAAATATTCAAACGTTGCCATTTTAGATGTTTAAATAGTTATCAAAGGTACCAGGATTATAATTTAATACGCCAGACGCGCGTTTCGTCTACATAAGACTCATCAGTGACGCTCAGATCAAAATAGTTATAAAGCCAAACAAACTTGTACAAAGTTGAAGAGCATTCATTAGTCAAGAGCCTGTAAAATAATAAAGTTGTTGAAGAATGAAGTTTGATTTTCTTATTTTGAAATAAAAAAAGACTTTTTAGAATTTTACATTTAAGTCCATGGTAAACATTAACTTGCATAAAATAATATGACTTATAATCATACATACAAAAAATATCGAAGATATAAACCAGACTTTTCCTATAAATGCAGGTAAAAAGGCAGCAATGTAGACACTTATTATTAAAATATCACTGCCAAGTATTTCACAACCATCATTAAGAATAAACTAACGACTTAAATACAAGGATATAACAGTAGTGAAAATATAATCAAATGACTATGTAGTATTTTTCATCAGATCCAATAATATTCAATATAACATTTTCTTGTTTCAGGATGTACTTTTAAGCATGTGACAGCAACCCATATATCAATGGTCTACTGTAAGTATTCTATATATGTACACTCAAAATCAGAACGTGTGATTGGTGTGGGCCAATGTAATATCTTTAAATCATTTAAGTCCTAATAAGGAAGTAGAGTCTCTGTAAATTTACTTAAATGCAAAAGTGATATGTAGACACTACTGTAAAAGAAATTGTGAAAGTTTTTAAAATAGTCACATGACTGACAGTCAGGGGTAATACCTTTTTTTCTTTCAGTATTGTTTGCCTACCTTTAAAACAATTCTTTTGATTTGCTTTGTATTTCTGGAGTTAAAGGAAATGTTTTTACAATATACATGTATCTTAACTGGATAGCAGTAATTGAAAAACTTTTGACAGAGGTGCAAGTCTTTCAAATTTGAGCTGAAGCATTTTAACATGTTTAATTGATTTACCAACACTATACAAAGCTCAAGAGGATAATCATACACAATTCCATTGATATTTACTTCACATGTGTGACACAAACATTTACATGTATGTTATCATGAAATTTCAAATAATTGTCTTGTGGCTTTTCTCCTACATATACGTGTGTCAATTGTGTGACTTTTTACCTATTTAACCAAAATCCACAAGAAACATGGTCTCATAAAAAATTAATATAACTACATGTAGTGCATTTTCAGACCATAGTCCAAATTTTAATATATGTGATTACTATTAAATTTTACACCAATTATTTATTAAGGTTGTTTAATTATATACATGATACATGATAAGTTCTTTGCCCCCCCCCCCAAAAAAAATAAAAAAGTAAAATAAATTAGCATTTTGAAGATAACAGACAAGATAACAGACGTATGAGATTTTTATTGTCTATGAAGTAATCAAATTTGACTTTTATGAATAGTGAACAAGATAAAGACAATTATAAATAAACATGCAATTAAACACACCAACAGAGCATTGTAGTCAAGAAAAATAAAGAAAAGAAGAACATATGACCTTTTTACTTATATCATGTATATAAGAAATAAAATAGTTAATACTGAACATTGTCGAATGTCAAGGGATGCAACTCTACATTTGTTCTCCCGCCCAATAATTTACCTCTAAACGTAAATTATTTTTTTGGTAAATACAAACACACACCTATAAGTATTACACCTAACTGACTGAAAGATGAATTAATTCAATATTAAAAATATTAAATATATGTGTGCACTGAAGCATAATAATACAAAATTTAAATTTGACACCTTCATGAAGAATTGAATACCTTTAAATTGTTTATTCAAAAATTGAAAAAATAACTAAGTGCTAAAAAGTGATTTGAAATCCTACGACATATGTTTGCTTATTCAAATCCTCATCAATGAAAGGTATGGTTCATGTTATATATATATAAAAGATATCAAGAAATTTTTAATAAATTTTTTTGAAGTATAAATAGACTGTAGACACAAATTCATGGTAGAATAAACATAGACTTAATACATTAGTCATATGCAAAAGAAGAAAGAAAATAAACCCAGGACAGGATTGCCGATTGGTTTAAAAATGTGATTACACATGACTGTGAAACATGAGTGCTGATCCCTAAGTGGAAAGTCCACTTTTTAAACTGATATAAATCTATAAATAGAAGTATTTCATCTGGTTGCTTTACCTCATTTTCCTCCACTTCGTTGTACTGTTCAAATATTTTAAAATAAGGAATACGTTATGTTTTTCATTAAGATTGTTGTCATAATGAAAAATCATAACAAAAGCTGCTCCTAAATTAACACCTTTCCTATGAAAGTATAGCATACCCATTTTGTTGTATTTGATGCTCATTTCTGTAAAAAAAACTTCTTGCTACAATAGTTTATCATTCTCATAGTATAACACTTCAGTTTTCATCCTGTGTGGAAATTTCTAAGAAATAGAAACACTCATAATAACCCAATTTACACCATTCTTTCCAACAACAGAATAACAAAGAAGGGATCCAATTACTTTACACAGTTCACTTTACTATGTTCCTCACAGTAATGCAGAGTTTTTGTAAGATTAACTAAGAAGCAATTCTTTGAATTAGGTTCCAGCAGTCAACCAGTGCAAAGTGAACTGAACTTTTTTAAACCTGATATCAAAAATACTGTCATCATATTTGATAAATTCCTAGTAAATAAATATAACCATGCAGCATCATTTTTAATTTTACCATCCAATCCTAATAACTTCTGTAAGATCATGTAACACTCAACAAATATTAAATTACAATGAATATAAATTAGTTTCCAGTGTAAAAAAAATAACGATAATGACATCATGATTTATTTGAAACGCATGATCATAATTGATAAATTAAGCTTCTTCAGAATAAATAATACAACCATTATTTATATACACATGATGAATGTTTCACTTAATTATTTCCATAAAAAAATAATTGGAATAAATTAGAAAAGCTATAGCTTGTTAAGGTTTTCTAAAAAAAATTCTGATCAATGCTGAATTATCTATAATATAATCCTTTTCTTCCAATATATTGACTTAATATATATAACAGTATATATATATGGAGAGTGTGTGTGTGTATTCTCACATACATCAAACGATTTATATTGGTAATAAATCCATAACTAAGGTGCATAACAAAAGAAAATCACTTTATAATCTCAAAACTACATGTAAAGTGGGCGTAAAACAACATTCACCTTAATCAAACGTATGTCCACAGTCGAAAGTAAACTGCCTCAGTTCCTGAACTACGAGTTGATTTTTCAATTTCTAAATGTGTTAATTTCAATAGTATCTACACAATCTTGTCAGTTGATACCTTTTGGCTTTATGCATGAGGTCCTCAAGGTCATATTTCTAAATGTGTAGATATTTATATTTATATCTCTGGAAGTTTTCGTTCGTATTAATAACCTTGACATTGGCTGACAAACTGGGGCGTGTTTCATTGGTCTCTTCTGTACATCTCCAGAATGTCTTCTGGTGAAGAGTACAAAAAAATATGGACCTCTTCTGGAGATATTCTGTAGAAGAAGCAATAAAACAAAAATTCAATTTGCCGTCGAAAACAGCTGATTTTTTTTTATGTTGGTTTACATAAATGAAGTTTACGATGATTCATTAGAAAATTAAGATACGTTAGTTCCGATACGATAGACATGACTGTAATTGGTGTGCTCTGTTTTGGCATTGATGCAATTATACAATACGTGTAAAAACAAAGAAAATTGGTTGGAAAAAATCGCTGTGTACGTGACATTTTTTTCTTTATGCTGTCCTAACTCAATTTTGCTAAACAAATCCGGCTTAAAGCCCCGACCATTTGACTTTCAGGAATAATCTTAAACTGTACAACAATTTGTCAATGTTTGTCTGGCATATGATCGAAAAGAACATCGCAGAGTTCTCAAAATTATTTTCCCTGGTGGTCCTTGAAGAAATTCTGCTGGTCCTAACTATTATTTCTATTGCAAAATTGCGATGGGCAAAACCTTCGGACCACCACTTTTTGAAAACCTTAATTGTATATGCACGTACATGTATACAATAGTTATCAAAGCAGTACCAGGCTTATAATTTAATACGCCAGACGCGCGTTTCGTCTACGTAAGACTCATCAGTGACGCTCAGATCAAAATAGTTATAAAGCCAAACAAGTACAAAGTTGAAGAGCATTGAGGACCCAAAATTCCAAAAAGTTGTCCCAAATACGGCTAAGGTAATCTATGCCTGGGAAAAGAAAATCCTTAGTATTTCGAAGAATTCATACTTATGTAAACAGGAAATTTATAAAAATGACCATATACAAGGTATACATGCAAGGTCATGGTGTTTCTCAGACTGTTTATGACTAAATCCGTTGCTTGTGTACTGATTGATACTTTAATCTGGGATATTTATTTCAGTGTTAGTTGTAATTAGCTTTGAACAAACTTTCATTAGCTGCAAATACTCTTATTTCGGTGCTTTGTGTCTATTGTCTTAATGTTAGTTGTTTGTTGAGTCTTGTACCGATCTTTTGAGTTAATCTAATTGCAACGGATTTTTACAGTTTGTTCTTGTGTTGTACTGATACACCACTATCCCAGTTTAGCGGAGGATTGAGCGCTCACAAACATGTTTAACCCTGCCATATTCTTTATGTGCCTGTCCCAAGTCAGGAGTCTGTAGTTCAGTGGTTGTCGTTGGTTCATATCTGTCGACTCATATTTGATTTTTTGTAAATTGTTTTGTTATATATAATAAGGCCGTTAGATTTTTCGTTTGAATTGTTTATCATTTTTCATGTCGGGGACTTTAATAGCCGACTATACGGTATGGGTTTTTGTCATTGTTGAAAACCGTACGGTTGCCTATAATTGCTTACATCCATTCATTTGAACTCCGGTGGATAGTTGCCTCATTGGCAATCATACCACATCTCCTTTAAAGGCTTTTTTATATTATATACCTGACTTTTAAACTCGTGTTTTCCTGAACATGCATGAAACATTTGTCACTGGACGTTAAAAATAAGCCACCAACAATAAATCAATTTAAACATGTTAAACTTGTGTTAAATGAGGGGAAAAACATTTGATATTTTTTTTGGGGGGGGGGGGGGGGGGCAGAAAGATTTTACATATGAATATATAGGGTCCTGGTAAGAGCTGAAAAATAGACATGATTAGCGACAGATGAAAATGAATAATAAATCCGCAAAAAATCGACCTGCCCCCTCCCCTCCCCAGAATATCAAATAATCGTCCCCTTACTGTTATTGTCCGTGTAGTTCTTATATTTATCCAGCTTATCGTCCCTACAGGGATGTCCTACTTAAGCTGCCATACCATAAAAACGTTTATCACAAAGCTCACATTCTAATATAGTTGCATTCATAAATTTATTAAAGTCATTTAGACTTAGCGACGCCATGTTTATTATGTGCCTCTGCCGTCTAAACCACCTATTTAAAAGGAAGAGGTAGAAGAGAGCCAGAAGATCTTCCCATATGCAAAAAAACAGAAATGGACATCTTCTGGCTTACTACCGAAGAACAAAAAAACACGCCCCTTGCTATAAGTCGCACATTCTTCAGGGAACATAGGTTAACTCGGACTGGATCTATGACAACTCGTACCTTTGAAAACTCGTACTCAACCAACTCGTACGCGATTTTTTTCTAACTCTTTCTTTTACCAACTCGTACTTCTACCAGAGACATACAATACATATTTTACCTTACATTTGCATTGGTATTATTTGGGTATCAAATCGAAAGAAAAGAAATCTAGAATCTGCTTAAATTTTGGTAAATGACCTTTTATGAGCTATTGAAGTCTTATATGAAAAGAAAAATGGGTGTTATGGGGCAAAATATTTTACCCTGTATCGTAGGAAAAAAAACCCCAAGGAGTCCGAACATCTGACAAAAATTCCTAAACCTGACCTAATACAATACAGATCTTGCACAAAAACAGGACTTTTCTTTTTTTTATTCTTTCACAGGTCTCTAATTAGGTAAATTGTTCTCATTCTTTTGGTTTCAAGTGATGGATATTTAGACTTTTCCAGTAATTTTTCATAAGTGGTTTCAAAATCATTAAAAAAAAAGGAAAAGCTCATTCCTGAATTTTCTGAATTTTCTTAGTATTTTGTTCCCCACAAAATACAAAATATGCGTACAGTAACTAAATTTTACATAACGTTCAATTGCCTTACAACCTTATACTACTAGTAACCGAATTTATACCAAAAAAGTTAATTAACTGCCATCCTCTTGCCGGGAAACACATGATCGCCTTATTTAAAAATCGCGACATATAAGGATAAGTTTTAATGACTGTCTATAGGATAATGGAAAGCATTCAGACATTATAGAGACTCCATGTCCCATGTTGATCGAACACAGCAAATTAAAAATCTATTTTAATTTCAAATTTAGCTTTGCATTTGAAAGATTTGATAAATTCATAAACCAAAAAAAAAAAAAAAAAAAAAAAAAAAAAAAAAAAAACGATTCACCTTGTCATGCTTGTGTTGAATAGCATATATAATTATAGTCTTCGAATTGAGAAACATCCTTATAAGAGAACAGTTGATAGTCATATATGGAAAATTGGTTGTATGACCTCGTTCAGATATGTCAGATAGAATATGCCAGTTTGATCACTCAACACGTTTGAAAAAGAAGCTTAAGTTTTTATGTACCTGCATCTTTATATCTAAATTTATAGCGTATATATAAATATAATATATCGATACATCTTGTAAGTTTCATAACTTGAGAGTTACATAAAGATGATCGTATGCTTTGGATAATGTCAAATGATGACTTGCAATTTATATATAAATTCTGTGATTATCTGAATCTGTTTTTTGATTTGAGAGCTAATATTATATGTGATTGTGATGATGTGGACCTAGAGTTATCCTCCTTTGTATACGTTACAGACTGACTCTCCACATGTATTGTATAATTATTGCCTTTTTTATGTAGTTGTATTTTCCTTGTGAATAAACTCAAACAAGTTGTATGGGCCTAAAGGTTCTTTATTTCATCTTTATTGATGGTACAATTCAACCAGTTGTAATCATCAATTATTTTAAAATCAATTTCTCAATATGCACATGCATATTTAAAGCAAAGTTAATTAATTGTCCTATGAAATATTGTCTTCATGCAATTTTGTTCCCATCTATGAAATAATGTCCAGAGAAGGACACATTTCCATATGCAATTTTGTCCATACACAGACGATATTTCATAGATGAATAGTATGAGATTTTGTCTAGTATAAAGGAGGTTGTCCAAGGATAGATATTGTGCATATTTAGGCAATATTTCATAGTTGGATTGTCATGAAATTTTGTCTCATGAAAGGGAGGTTATAAACATTTAATTATTTTATGTTACACATACAGGAAAACTGTTAAAATTTCCAAAACGAAAGAAGAATGAAGATATCAGCATAAAAACTCTAACAATGGAATAGAAATGTGAATTAAGTCATATAATAGGAATTTAACCTAACATGTAGTGTAAAGGTTCACATCAATGATTGGTGAGTAACTAGCCTATATTCTTTAAATGGGCATTAGCTACGAGATATACAAAAAAAAATATGATTTTTTTTGTTCAATCATTATTGAAAATGAAATACTAGTAGTAAAATAATAATACGCTTTTAGCAGTCTGTTTAGTTCAATTTTGTCAAAATAAGCTAAGAAACATCGCTGATGAATGATTCACTTGCAAGTGAATAGTTCGACCTCATTGAATCCGTATTGATGTGACCGTCAATTTAACCCCTTAGCTAGAGATAGGGTTACGCATGTACTAGATTAAAAGGAAAAGAATGTCAACATTGAAAGTGAAACAAAGGTGAACCATTTCGTTGACTGATTCTATCCACAAAAAAAAAAATTCTTATACAGGTAAAAACGATGATTAACTTATTTGTCTAAACTATTACATGAAATCAAACAGACCTGGAAAAATCTAATTGCACGTGGTCGAAATCTATTTATAAAATTGAGAATGGAAATGGGGAATATGTCAAAGAGACAACAACCCGACCAAAGAGCAGATAACAGCCGAAGGCCACAATGGGTCTTCAACGCAGCGAGAAAATCCCGCACCCGGAGGTGGTCCTCAGCTGGCCCCTAAATAAAATTGTGTACTGGTTCAGTGAAAATGGACGTCACACTAAACTCCAAAACATATAAAGGAACTAAAATTAAAAAAAACATACAAGACTAACAAAGGCCAGAGGCTCCTGACTTGGGACAGGGGCAAAAATGCGGCGGGGTTAAACATGTTTTGTGAGATCTCAACCCCC